AGTTCAGCAACACTGATCAATCTAATAAATTTAAACCTACACCATCCTCCCTATTCTGGTATTTTAAAGAGTACTTACCTACCTAACTAATAGGGTTGCCAACTCCCAGAAAAAATATTAGAGAACCACCCCCCGCCCCTTAATCGATGTAATCAACTTTAATTTAATGCAAGTGTAAAACAAATGCACAGAAATCACTTATTTTTCTACAATGATTAAATAGATTCAGCATCTTTCTTCAACAGAATTGCAGACTGCACAGATGGTACCTTCCCAAAGGAAAAAGTACTATAACTTACTAAAGTGTATATTAGACTTACTAGTTACTATATACAATAATGGATTTCTATACATTTAATCAGATGACCACTTTTGTTGTAAGATTCAGATAATTATTTATTCAAAGTTTTTAAATGACATAACAAAGAAAAATATTCTTTGTGCCCCTGGCCCCCGACAAAACTTTGCTAGGCCCGCCCCTGCACAGTTACCAGCCGTCAGCTACTTAGAAAAGGATCCTGGTGTTATTTGTCTCTAAGAAATGGTTCATAACTTCCCTTCAACTCATTCATGTCACCTAAAAGGTAAACCTGTTTCTCCATCACCCTGCTCAGCTCTGATGATTTAGTAAGAACATCTCCTAGTTCCATCTTCATGTTTCCCTCTCACCACATATCCAAACCGATATCATGACCAGCAGCTTTTACAGCCGTGGCTCTGCCAAAACCTCAGCTGACACTAGAAAGTAATATTAAATACATTCTAGCAGCTTATCACGCTTAAACGTGCTGCTGTTGTTTATCCGCCGGTCTCCTCTTTCTAGCACAAAGTGGGCGATAAACAAACGAGAAAGAGTGGACTTGTGGCAGAAAAGCCGATCAGCTGATCATTGATCATTTTCATGCTTGAAGTAATAACAGGGGAGGGAGGGGAAGTGAATGAGAGAAGTAGTGTTGATTTTTTTAATTCTAGCTGAAGTACGGGACAAATCGCTTCCTTTTCACCTCAGTATGGAACTCCGATGGCCAGTCCAGCTGTGGCTCAATATATCAGTTGTTAAGCTTAACGTGGAAATACTATGCAAACATTTAGGCATGAACTTACACACTTGCTTTACTTCTCTGGGATAGTTTTGGCCGAGATGAAATGCCGCGGTTAGGAAGCATGTAGCGAGGCTCCAAATACTCCACCAGACCGCCGACAGGTCTCGCAGACAACAGCCGCTCTGTCACGTGACACATACTGCTCCGATGCGCCGAGCTGGGTTACGCCAAGTAGCGCGTTTTGTGAGGTGATTTTGTGATACTTCGGATTGGATTACGTTTTTTATTTCTCTCCGATATCCAATCCAGTAATTTAGGTCAGTAACGGACCGATACGTAATATCGGATCGGTCTATCTCTAATACTAACTGCACCCTACAGTTAGTGAGAAGGTAAAGTCTGACTGTGGAAAGAGCAAATTTAAAAAAAAAATCAATCACCTCATTGTTGTAATCTCGGCACAATTTTATCTTTGACTTTTTTAAATTTTTTTATATATGATAGAGTTAAATGTTTCAGTAACTTTCTTTTTCTGTGTGTCCAGTGATGATGGGTTCTCTGCTGGCTGCTACTAGTGAAGCTCCTGGTGAATATTTCTTCTCTGATGGCATCAGGCTGAAGAAATACCGTGGCATGGGCTCCCTGGACGCCATGGACAAAAACCTGGGCTCCCAGACCAGATACTTCAGGTATCAGTAATACAACAAGGGGCTGTCCACCTTACACAGCCAGTCTGCCTGTCACGTTGTTGGGCCTTTCTTTGCCAGTTTTCCCCATCAGACAACACTTCCTCATTTCATTTTCAGTGGTTTGCAGAACACAGCTGTTGTGCTGCTATGTGGTGGTAAAGAATGATGAGCCTGCTAGAAAAGTATGGCGCTGGCATTTTACTTT